TATAATTTACATTTAAAATACCATTATAAGTTGATATACAACATAACAAATCTCCTTTTTTAATGTTTATATCTTTTTTATCGTTATTATATACAGTTATTTTAATATCGTCAGTAGACTCTGTTACAATAGAATTTAGTAAATTTAGTTCTGGTTTATAATTTTCTGCAATTGAAATCACTATATGTCCTTTATCTATTTCAACACCACACATTAAAGAAATGTTATTATATGAATTTGATTTTACTGTAAAATCTTCTTGTGCGAATACTTTAATATGTCTATCATTTATTGCTCTATGTTCTAAATCTGAATTAATATAAAAATTTATTCTATATTGTTCATTCTTTTCATAATATAAAAACATTCTACTATTATACATTTTATAAATGTAAAGATTTTTTTTAAATCACTCTGTAATCCTCATATCTATTTTGTTTTTAAAGTTCTTGCAATATAATTTAAAATGCTTTCACCTTGATGTAAAAAATTACACTTTTTATTATCATTATTTTTATATATTAATGTTTTTTCTCCTTTTTTATTTTTCTTTAATTTACTCTCTACTAATTTACATGGAGTATAATGACAAATTTCTACATTTTCTTCAATTTCTTTTAAATAATGAGCATATTTGCAATTTATATTTTTACATTCTTTTTTATCAAGAATATATTTGCATAATTTAGTTTTAGCTTTTCTTAATTTTAATAATTCTGACTTTTTGGGATGAAACAATCTACACTTTTTATTCTTACATTTTGGGTATTCAGAACATAGAGATAAATGTCTATATTGACATGAAGATTTAGTGCATATGAGTCTTTCCTTTACAGTATTACAATAAGGAATATCATGATTGTATTTACATCTATGTTCAAAATGACAATAATTATCTTTTAAAATATTTTTACAGAAAATGGGTAGTTTCTCTACAAAATGTATTGTTGAAGGTTTTCCATCTTCAGTAAAATTAATATCTACATTAAATGGTTTTTCAAAACTAAATTTTCTGTTTTTGTAATGTTTTTTAAAAGAAGTATCATCAAGAGCAGGAAAATCATCATTAATAACATTATAAGTTGGAACATAATTAATCCATTTCAGCTTATCTTTATGCAGTTCCATGATTTGAACTGTTTTTAAAGGAATTGGAACTATAGGTTTTTCTTTAACTTCTTCATCATCTGATGTATAATAAGTAGCTTCATCAGATGTATAATAAGTGCCATCTTCAGAATCTGATTCTTCAAATTCAAATTTTAATATTTCTTCAAAAAGTTTAAATTCTTTTTGAAATTCTGATATTTCATTAATTTCATCATCATACATTTTTCTTTTATTATTTGTAAAAAATACTTTAAATCAAAAAATTTAAAATGAGTTAAATAATTTTCTTTTATATATAAAAAGAATGGAAAACGAAATGCAAAATTCATTTTTAAAATCAATTGAACAAAGATTAAGATTAATAGAAGAAAAATTAAATATAATTGATATTCATGATATTGAAATGACTGAAGATTCTGAAGTTACTACAATTACTACTACTGAAGTTACTGAAATTACAGAAACTACTGAATACGATAATGATATTGAAATGACTGAAGAAGATGATGAAGATGATGAAGATAATGAAGATGAAGAAGATGATGAAGATAATGAAGATAATGAAGATGAAGAAGATGATGAAGATGAAGAAGATGAAGAAGATGAAGAAGATGAAGAAGAAGTTACTACAGTAACTACAGTTATTACAGTAACTACTGAAATTACAGAAACTACTGAATATGATAATGAAGATGATAAAGATGAAGTTGTATTTGATAATTAGACTACAGAATTAAATATTTTTTTTATTTTTTACAAAAAATAAAAAAATTGAAAAATGAGTTAAATAATTTTCTTGTATATATAAAAAAGAATGGAAAATAAAATTCAAAATGAAATAATTAATCCTTCATCTCAGATATATTATATTACTGAAATATTAAAAAACTATGGGTATAACGATAATTTTGAAAATAAAGTTGACTTTGCTGTTGAAATAGATAGATTTGATCTAATTAAATATTTACATTCAAAAGGTTATAAAGGTACAAAAGATGCAATAGATAAAGCTGCAGAAAATGGTCACCTTGAAGTAATTAAATACTTGCATGAATTAGGGTATAAAGGTACAAAAGATGCTATTAATAATGCTGCAATGAATGGGCATCTTGAAGTAATTAAATATTTACATGAATTAGGGTATAAAGGTACAAAAGATGCAATTAATAATGCTGCAATGAATGGGCATCTTGAAGTTATTAAATATTTACATGAATTAAGGTATAAAGGAACAAAAGATGCAATTAATAATGCTGTAGTAGATGGATATTTAGATGTAGTTAAATATTTAATATCTTTAAATTATAAAGTCAATGAAACTGATTTTATGTGTGCTGTATTTAATGAACATTTAGAAATTCTTAAATATTTTATTGAAGATTTAAATTTAAGAGGACCTGAAAATTTAATTGATTATGCTGCTTCAAATAAAAATTTAATTGAAATTGTTTTTTCCAATTTTATGGGACGAGAAAATAGTCATCTTGAAGTTGTAAAGTATTTACATGAAAAAGGATATAAATAAGAAATAAAAAATTGAAAATTTAAATTCTTTACATAAATTAAAAAAATGGAATGTACAAGTAAAGATGAAGTTAATAAATTTATGGGTTATAAAAGAAGAATAAGTTTAGCTCGTTATTTTAAAAATAAAAATAAATTACAATGGGAAAAGTTAGAGAAGGAAAGATTAGAAGAAGAAAAGTTAAAAACACCAGATCAAATTTATTATTAAGAAAAATCACGTGACGTCATTTTAAGAATTTTTCGTAATATTTCATAACAAGAAATAAAAATTAACACTTATTTTAAAAAATCAATTTTTTTTAAAATAAAAAATTATTTCTTATCTAAATAAATTATATACAACATGGTTCAATGTTAACCTCAATATTAATATTAATTTATGGTTGAAAATTTGGTTGAAAATAAAAATGTCCCAGAATCGGTAATCTCTTACTACTCGCACCTGCTGATTTGTTGGGTTTTAGCATTTTAAAAGCGCATTCAAACTCTTCAAAAGTTAGTTCAAACGAATTAAATTGCGATGTATTAGGGATAAATAGATTACTTATTGGATTAATTGCTTGAGGAATTTTTTGGGATAAATTTGGTCCAACAGAAACAAAATATTTATTCAGCTCGTTAGCTATCTCTTCTTTATCATACAAAAATTTATAATTTGATTTGATGGTTTTAGGCAATGTGAGCGTGTTCATTTTAAAACTGCCTGTGATTTCCTTTATAACTTCCCATGTGCGCTTAGAATTTAATCTATATTTCTCAAGTAAATCATTGTAATAATTTTTTAAAGATTTTTTTTTTGACGTTTGAATTGTTTGGCGTAACTTTTATATACAGCTTTACTTTTATCTGTTTTTAGGTTTAGGAATTTAATGTACAATTTTTGTTTGATTTTGGATGATTTTCTTAACCCTTTAGTAATCCATGGGGATTTTATACTTTTTAATTTACAATGTATTTTGATTTTTGGAAAGTTAACATCATATATATCAAAAAAAGTTTTAAAAAATTTGTTGTAAGCTAGGTTAGCATCATCTAAATTGGAAATGTGCCCGCAATGAAGAAGAGACAATTGCTCTTTAAATGTTTCCAAATTCTTTTCATTAAAAATACGTTTAACATAAATTTGATTTATATTTGGTGACGTTTCCATTTTAGTATTAATGGAAAAGAAAACAGGGAAGTAATCAGAAATGTCACTTTTAATTATGCCTTTTTTAAGAGATTCGTTAAATAAATCAGTTGTTATTATATTATCAATCAGGGAAGATGTTGATTGAGTTATTCTGGTTGGTTTGGTGATTAGTGGAACCGCACCATTTTCAAAAATGTCATTATAAAAACTTTTAATGTTGGGTTTTACGTGATATTCGAAGCAACATAAACTTAAATCACCTATTAAGTAGTTAAATTTCTTTTCATGATTGGTTTTTTTAATTATATCATGATGTAAATATGAACTAAAACTTTCAATTACATCAGATGGTGGGCGATAACAACAACTAATTATAATATTTTTAGCTTTTTTAATAATTAATTCAATTGATAAAACCTCTTTATTGCTATCAGAGATACTCATGTCAAGCCTGGTTAACAATTTCAAGCGTTCCTTTACGTAAATAATCACGCGCCACCACGTTTATTGGTTTTACGCGCTAATGAAATCAATTTATATCCAGGCAAGTTAAAATTAGCAATAAAATAAACGTCATCAGAATCACACCAAGTTTCTGTTAAGCAAATTACGCTAAAAATGTTAAAAGTTTCATCAATTAAATTACGAAAATTTTCAAAGTTTTTTTTCAAACTTCTTATATTTATATGAATCACATTCAACTTATCCGGTTCAAGAAATTTTTCTAATTCTTGGACATACAAATAACTGCACTTGTTTTTTAAAGCACCAGCTCTACTAAAATAATTTAGGTCAGGGTCATTATTGCTGTCCAGTAAAAAATCATTAGTTTGAAATAAGTTAGATTAAAGTTGATTGTCTTATTATATCATAGCTGCGGTTTAGCTCGGACTGCCTTAGTTCCCAGAGGTCGATGATTCGTACTTATCTCTGGATTAAAGATTCACCAAATAAAAAAACTTTAGTTTAATTTAGTGCTCAATATTTAATTCAATATTCAAAAAAATATTTTTGAAGGAATGTTAAATGAGATATATGGCAATTTATTGGATAATTAAATGCAATAAATTAGCATATATATTCATATCGAAAAATTATTAAAAAAATAAATTAAATTCCTCATAAAATACTTAATTATTTATAAATCAATATTTAGCTTAACATTTTTTAAAACTATTTTTAACTACTTTATTATTTTAAGGGAAAAGAAATAAATTAAAAGTAAAAGATGTTGTCGCAATATCATTATAATTATAATATGACGTCAACATCGCAACATAAGCGAATAAAAAGATGCTTGTAAAAATTCAGGTTATAAAACTACGTATCAATCAAAGAAAGAGCTAGAACTCGTTGCAGCTCCTCTTCTTCTTCTCTTATTTGTTGGTCAATCAAATTGTCTTCCTTGGCCGACAACTCAAGAATTTTTCTTAGTTGCTCGTCATCATTATCACGTAAATAGTCGAGGGTGGCATCATTACTAAAGTTTATATTTCTACATCAGACGAAAACAAAAAAACAAAAAAAATGAAATATAAAAATTAAAAAAAAAAGTCAAAACATGGTACCTCTGAAGTTCATGATAGTCTTGATTCAATTCTTCAGATCGGGCACATTTATCAAACGGATCTGTTGATATAAGACTTTGCTGAATAGCTAGCTGTAACAACTCTTCGTCTTCTTCTCGATCATAAGTATCTAAAATAAAAAAATAAAAAAATCCAAATCATTACATATTTTGTGTATGTACACAAACATCCACTCGTAGTTTATCATACTCGTGGACGGAATATGCAAAGAGCAGATTCTTAATTGAAATAAAGACTCTTAAACCGAATCCATACCTATCAGTCAAAATTTAAATATATCGATTTATGTGTATGGGCTGGAGAGGTTTTTTTTATTTATTATAATAATTTATTTCATTAAACATTTGGATATTTTTTAAAATATTCTCATTTGTAAATAAAATTTTTTTATTATCCTAGGTATTATCAAAAACCAAATACATATTTATATAGAAAATTGAATTGTATAAGATAAGTAAAAATTACATATAAAAAAAAGTTAAAAATATAAAAAAAATGTCTTTACGGAGACAAAACTGAGTAAATACATTTTTTAAATATTTTTTATTAATATTAAACAAAAACCGTGAAAAGATGTGTCAACTCCCATATCTCTGTAGTTCCTATAAACCTCAAAGATTGACTTGTCAATTACACATTTTGTCACATAATCCGAACTGACGGAATCATTTGGTTTACTTTCATCTAGCGTAATAACTCCTTCAGGACAATTTTCTTTACCATTTAAATTGTTGAAAGTAACACGTGCATTTAATACACGAAACAGGGGGATTTCTAAAAACAAAACAAAATTTTCAGGGAGATTTCTAAAAACAAAACAAAATTTTCTTTTTAAAAGCATTATAAAATATTAGCCCAAAAATATCTAAAAATTATTTTAGTATATTATAAATTTACAATTGTTATTTATTATATTAATTATTATTATTTTTTTATTGCTTATATTATTATTATGTATTATAAAATATATAATTTATTAATACATTTTATAATATGTTTATTATATAATTTTATAGTATTCATAATAATATATTTATTATTTTATTATTATATTATAAACTAAATTTAAAAAAGTCTGAAATTAGTCCAAATAGAAAAACAATTGCAAAAGATGTATAAATGAATAATAATATTACTAATAACAAAACAAATATAAATAAGCAAAATAAAAAATAAAAACTACGCTATATATATATGTATATGTATAGTCTTGCATGGTAGTCATTTTTTTACAGTTTATGGTAGAAAGTTTTTCCCATAAACTGTAGTTTTAAAGAGAGCATTAATAAACCAGACCAGAAAAAGTTTATAAACTTGAATAATTTTTTTTTTTCTAAAATGATAGACTGCCAGCCCAAACTCCCTTGTGAGTCAGGCTATTTGTCAGTTGAGGTAGCAGCACTCCTTTGCGAGTCAGGCTATAAGATAGTTGATGTAGCAACACTCCGTTGTGAGTCAGGCTATAAGATAAGCAACACTCCCTTGTAACAGCAGGGTATGAGAAAGTCAAAGTAACAACACTCCATGCATGTTTTAAAAATATATTTTAATAAAACAAAAACAAAACACCATTAATTAAAAAAAAACTTTCTAGTCATTATTATTGCGGTTTTTTTAAAAAACAGTAAAATTTTATGTACTTCTGCATTAATGTCAAAGCAATTAATTGCTACATTTTATTGTCTTCAAAATGTCAAAGCAATTAATTACTTTGACATTTCGACGACAATAAAATATAGCTTAGTTGTTAAGGTAGCTAAATTGTTGTCAAAAGAGACTTTTTTTTACATTAAAAAGCTTTTTCAACTACCATATAAGGATATATATATATATATATATATATATATATATATATATATATATATATATATATATATATATATATATACATATATATATATATACATATATATATATATATATATATATATATATATATATATATATATATATATATATATATATATTATATATATATATATATATATATATATATATATATATATAATTTTTTTGTTTTTTAAAAAAACTGCAATAATAATAAATAGAAAGTTTTTTTTAATTAATGGTGTTTTTGTTGTTGTTTTATTAAAATATTTTTTTTAAACATGCGCGGCTATAAGTTAATTGATGTGGCATGCATTGCCACATCAATTAACTTATAGCCTGCTATTACAAGGGAGTGTTGCTACATCAACTATCTTATAGCCTGACTCCCAACGGAGTATTGCTACATCAACTATCTTATAGTCTAACTCGCAAAAGAGTGCTACTACATCAACTGACAAATAGCCTGAGTTGCAAAGGAGTGCTGTTACATCGACTTTTGGTTTGGACAGGCAGTCTATCATTTAAAAAAAATTTTTTTTTTAAGTTTATAAACTATTTCTGGTCTGGTTTATTAACGCGCTCTTTAAAACTACAGTTTATGGGAATAACTTTCTGACTACCATATATATATATATATATATATATATATATATATATATATATATATATATATATATATATATATATATATATATATATATATATATATATATATATATATATATATATATATATATATATATATATATATATATATATATATATATATATATATATATATATATATATATATACATATATATATACTCTTGCATGTCTCTTGCATGGCATCAAAAAAAGTTTCCCATAAACTGTAGTTTTGAAGAGCGCGTTAATAAACCAGACCAGAAAAAGTTAAAAATTTTTTTTTTTTTTAATTGATAAACTGCCTGGCCAAACCAAACCCTCAGTCGATGTAGCAGCACTCTCTTGCGAGTCAGGCTATTTGTCAGTCGTTGTAGCAGCACTCCCTTGCGAGTCAGGCTATTTGTCAGTCGATGTAGCAGCATTCCCTTGCGAGTCAGGCTATTTGTCAGTCGATGTAGCAGGACTCCGTTGCGAGTCAGGCTATTTGTCAGTCGATGTAGCAGCACTCCGTTGCGAGTCAGGCTATTTGTTAGTCGATGTAGCAGCACTCAGTTGCGAGTCAGGCTATAAGATAGTCGATGTAGCACGATTTACGCATAATTTAAAAATGTTTTTTATTAAATCAATAACAAAAACACCACTAATTAAAAAAAAACTTTCTAGTCGTTATAATTGCGGTTTTTTAAAATTTTTTTAAAAAACAATTAAATTTAATGTACTTCCGCATAAATTAATTGCTTTGACATTTCGATGACAATCAAAAACAGCTTAAGAGACGAGGTAATTAAAATTGTAGTCGTAAGAGACTTTTTTTACATTAAAACGCTCTTTCGACTACACTATATGGGTATAAATATATATATATATATATATATATATATATATATATATATATATATATATATATATATATATATATATATATATATATATATATATATATATATATATATATACTATTTATAAATAAAACTGCATATTTTTCACAATTATTAGTTTCATGCTAAATGCAATCATCAGGTGTAAATATGTTTTTTTTCCTCATCAGGTGTAAATATGTTTTTATTTATAAATAATATATATAAATACAGCTCTGTTTTAATTTAAATCATTTTAATTTACTTTAATTCATCGAGCACTCTTGCGAGGATATATGCAAGCACTAATACGTATACATCCTCAACACTAATACGTATACATCCTCAACAATGTTATGAATTTTGCTGATCATCATATCATTATCAAAAGTGAATACAAAGCATTGATAAAGCATGCAAGAAAATTCATTATCTTCAACAACAAGAAGCATGGATTAAAAAAGAGGCAGATCATTTGATGTAACGATGGGGGCCACGGATGTTTCACTCTATATATAAGCGAGCATGATGTCACAAGAATTTTTGTGTTTAAAAAAAAAAAAAGTATTTCCGCCATAAAAGTATAAAAATTCACTAACTTTGAAATGATATATTTTTTTCTATTAACACTTTCATCTTCAAATAAAAAAAATATAAAAGAACCATCTTTCTTTGTTAAATAAATATTTACATTAGACGAAATAAAAAGAAATATTGTTAAAATATATCAAATGATTTGGGATGACTTTTGTGTTTTTGGTAATTTTTACGGAAAACCTGTCTTGGGCCAACCAAGATTTGCTAACATGGCTACATGGTTGATGGTTGAAATTTGGAACATTTATCCATGAATGTCTATTCTATCTGATTTTTGGTGATCGTAAATAATTTTTATAGCAAAAGTTAGTTTTTAATGCATTTATATTTTTGTTTTTATGACTTTCATATGCAAAATGTAATTTTTTTGTAACGATCATCAAATTAACAAATTTTCAATCCTCTAAGCACACGAAAATCCAAAAATTGTTATTTGTACCTCTAGCTATGTTATCAAATATGTTTTCAAACTTAGCATGTTTAGCTACATATTTTTCTATTTTTTTACGTTAATGTATGTTTACGATAAAGCAACCTTGAATGAATTAAGTCCCAAGCTATTATTAAAAGGTTTGATGAAAACATCCGTTTTAGCGAGACAAAATTTGAAATATAAATAAACAAAGTTACGCAGAATTTTTCTCGTGGCTAATCAAACTAATATCAGATAAGTTGTTTAATCTTCTTATATCAAGTGCATATATTTGTCAATAAATATTTGTTTTTTTATCTTATTATATTATTATATTTTTTTATTACAACTTTAATTTATATTTAATAAATATGTATTCTACTGAGAGAGAAATTTTAAAATTACACATTGGATGGGAAGATGGTTAGGATATTGAATGTAACTTTCCTTTTGTTAAGAGATTAATTGACACTGATAAAATCACTAACAATGTGATTTCGATTTTATTGACAGTCTTTAAACTAATAAAAGAATTATTTATTTTTATGAGCTTTATTTTGCCAGTTGATTTTAATTTGCCTTGTATTGATGAGTTCAATAAAATGTGCAAAAAATTAATACAGAAAAAAAATAGATTTAATAAATCTTTTGAAGCTTCAACGAAGCGTTTTTTAAAATGCAACTGTCTCCAGCTCCACAAACAAAAACAAAAAAAATCAGCAGATGCAGATTATTTTTCAATTTTAAATAGGAATAAGGAACTAAGTAGTCAAGTTGACCAATTAACTTCTAAAGAAAAAACTAATTTGAGCAAATAGATAGACTAAAAATGCAGGTACTAAACTTGGAAACTGAAATTGCAGATTTGAATTCTAAAAACAAGGTTTTCGACACACATTGTGACTCATTAAGTTCTCAATTAGAGGCTATGAGTATTAGGCTAAAACAGGAGGAGCAGTTCCAACTTATTTAAAAAAAAAAGTCAAAACATCACAATATAAATTTGCATTTGCTTGTGCAAAAAATGTAAGATTGCTCAAAAAAATTAAATTTGAAAAAAATAATGCAAAAGTTAGTAATATAAACCAGAGTAGTTGCCAAATTTGCAAACGTTTTTTTAGCAGTGATAAGGATTTAGTTGTTGTTGATTCTTATTTAGACTATGACAACATTGGATCTTCAGAATTGTTCTGTGGATTTAAATTAAGTAGTCCACAGACTATATCTGTAAAAAGGCCAATAGTTGGGAAAAAATATACTTACATGGTAAACCTTATTCTAAGTTAGGTAGGCATGCTGCAGCTAGAGGATCTAAACTTGCTTTTATATTCCTTCAATTATTAGCTTGTTCAGATTTAGAATGTGATTTGTCTATGTTGTTTTGTGATTTTATGTCTTGTGAAAAGTCAGTATTTCGTTGTGTTGCGAATAAGTTAGGTTTAGTTATTCAGTTAAGTGTTTCTGATGCAATAGAGCTGCAGAGCTAATTAAGGATGCCCCTGGCTGAATTCCATAGACTAAGACGTATTCTGTGTAATCTTGGTGCAAGGATTCTCCCATCTGAGCCTAAGATAAGACAAGAACAAGAAATGCGGACAATGCATGTCAATAAAGAACATGTCACTGTAAAGTCTATGTTACTTTATCCATCTGCGAATGAAGCACCTTGTTTAGTATCTGTACTGATGGTCAAGAATTTGACAACTTATATTGAAGAGTTTTTTATTAGTCTTCACGTAGGCGACCACCTTAGTTCGGATGTTGGTTTTGGCGAAAAGGTATGACTCCTTTTTGCTGGGGATAAGAGTGGAAAGTATATAAAATTCCATTTTGAAGTTATCAATTCTAAATCGTTAGGGTCTGTATATGATGTTCATTTGTTTTGTATGTATCAGGGTTCAGACTGTCGTGAGAATATTGCCTTAATTTCTCGGGCATTATGCCAATGACATTAAAAGAATTTAGTTGCCAGATTTTAAGCTAAAAGGCAAAATAGTCAGATTGTTCTTAGGTGGAGATTTTCATTTCATCGATGATGTTCTAGGACACCAGGGTTCAGCTGCTAGCTTTCCTAGTTCAACAGATCTAGTTGAATTGAAATCTCTTAGAAACCATGCTTCTATGCCTCACACACCTGCTAATTGTAACATCTTAAGGAGGACAATACAATCTCTGGAAGGTGCTTACAATGAGAACTTGTGTGAAAATAAGCAAGGTGGAAACTTAAGAGCTAAGTTTCATAAGAGGTAAGTTTCATAAATCAATTATTGCTCCTGTGATATTCCCCATAATAACTTTAAATAATGTAGTGCCACCTGTTTTACATATTATGTTAGGAGTTGTGTTAAAACTGTACAAGTTATTGTTGAAGGAGTGTAAGACTTTAGATTGTCAAGTTAATTCGTCTTTGTCGCATAATGAGAATGTGAGAATGAACGAATTGTGGGCTGCTAAAAGCGTTGAATGTTCTAAAACAGCAGAAACTTTGCGTTTATTAGGAAATCAATTTGTAGACATTGCAAATCTAAAAGCGCGATGGTTGGTTTTTAATAACAATTTTTTCGAATTAGAAAAAATATCTCTAAACTCCTCCAATAAAAAAAAAAACTGTAAACAGCAAGAAATGTGTGCTAGTATCAGGTGTTTAATTACTAAATATGATTGTAACGTTGATTGGGTGCAGTGTGTTATGTGCCAAAAATGGTTTTATCAATTTTGTGAAACTATTGGTGATTCAGAAAAGAGTGTATTTTGTGACATAAAGATATACGAGTGTTTAGCGTGTCAGGGTGAAGATATAGAATGTCTTGATCTTTATATTTCTAAAAAAATTTCTTTTATACGCGCACAACGCGAAGTTTTAGACATTGAATATATCAAATTGCAGATGGAGTGTGAAGACCTAGAAAAAATATCCAAAAGTAGCATGGGGAGTCATGAGAGGTCTCTTAATAAGGCCCTTGAAGATATGAAGGTTGAGCGACAAGCGTACCATGGTAATGTGTTTGTAGGTAATCATTGCAAAATAGTCTTAAAAAACCACTATAAACTTTGTAGTGTTATTGATGATGAAGCTATTAAAAATAGATTTATACGTGTGTTTAGTGTTTTTAATAAGCTGCAACCTATTCTTTTTAAGTGAAAATTTCTTTCTGATGCCGAAATTACTGAGCTTCATCAATATATAAATTTATTTGCTATCGAGTTTCATGCTTGCTTTCCAAAAGAAATTATCACGCGAAAAATTTGTCTTGTTTGTGGTCATAAAATTTAGTCTATATAACTAAAAAAAAAAGTTTTTAAAATATTTATTATTTTTTATTAATAATTTTATATATTAGATAGGTGCCCATTTCATTCTTATCTTCACAAGTTAATTATACTTATGCAATACCATCCAGGTTAAAGAATGGTACATAAGTCTCGCATCAAATGAGTGTAAAAATATAACTTACTACTTTAACTTATGAGCTGAGAAACTGGTAAGTTTGTTGGCTATGATATAAAATATTAGTTTGTGTTGTTAATTTTAAAAATGTATCATCTTTTATTATATGTAACATTTAATTTAAATATTAGATGCCCATTCGATTATTATCACCAGAAGTTAGTTTTACCTCTGCAGTACCTCTCCTCAACATACCTTCTCTCTGGAATAGAATTTAAGTCTCATAAATAACAAGTTAGTGTAAAGATACATTTTAAATAAAGATTTTGTAAAAGTTATTGTCACTATTGTGAGTCTGTTGAAAGATTACCTTCTAATCTTGTTGAACAAAAGCTATCTTCTATCTTCTAAAAACTTATCTTCTGGTTTAGAATGGAGCATAAATCTAATATCAACTGGGTGTTCAAAGATCATTTTCTACTTAAAGAACTTATCAGTAGATCAACTTATTACAAAACAGTTTTTTATGAGAATAAAAACACATCAAACAAATAAAATTAGCTATTTGTATATTTAAACAAATGTTTTATTTTTTGTGAGAAGAGATTTATTCAAGTGCCATTAAATAATTATATTACCAAAAGCGAGGTTAATTCAAAAACTTTAACACAGTTGTGGTCATGAATTATTTATTTAGAATTAGTGAGTCTTTATTTTTTAACAACTTAACACCATTTTATTAAAACTCTATGCATAGAAAGGAAGAAATTGCTTAAGTTTTTTAAAGGCTTTAGCTTAGAATGTCAAGACTAAATATTTCAAAATCGACATCTGGCTTTATTTTGTAATACATTGAATTTATCAACTTAGTGAATTTTTTTCACATTTAACAGATAATCCCTCAAAACAAACGTACTCATTTAACAGATAATCCCTCTTTAAACAACATTTTTCATAATTTTGCAAAAAATGCGGTTTGCTTGCAAACTTCAATAAAGACTGTTTTAGTTAACATTAAGCAATTAAGTAAGGTTTTTTTAGTTTAATAATAATCAAAAAACGAGTGTAATTGATAATAACTATCAGAAATATATTTGTTGATTTTTTTTTTGATAAAAAGTAACAAGAAATTACTAAAATTTAGCCAAGTTTGTCATTTGTTGCGTTTTTTATAAACTAAAAGAAGTTTTTTTACTACTGTATTAAATATCGCATAATGAAATAATTTGTTGTTGTCTTTATTCTTTTGACAAAACAAAATTATGTCAAATATTTCAAAAGTTATAAATGTTTTATTAACACCCCCTAGGTAAATATTTTCCAAAAAAACAAGAAGCCGTAAAGCTCACTCCGAAACAGCCGTGGGGCATTCGATGGTGATGATGCAAACTAATAGGTATTTTCATACTGTATCAAATTTCATAGCATTATAACAAAGAAGATTTTGACCTATATTGTGACGATGGTCTTGCTGTATTTTAGAACAAAAACGGTCAGCAAATGAATAAAATCAAAAAGCATATAACACATATTTTTAAAAGAAACAATCTTCCAATCACCATACAACCTAATTTAGAAATGACTTAATCAGTTAAGAAAAAAAATGACACAGAACTCTTTAAGGAAATATGGAGCTTAAAAGATCAAAACATATAGCCTATTATAGAATAGGAAATTGTCAAACGTTACAAACCTTGCAATTTAGCAACAAAAATATGCCACCTTTGTCTCTACAAAAATACTATTTTATCACATAATGGAAAAAACTACTGAATAAAAAAAACGAAATTGTATCTCAGTGTCGACATTCAAAAAAATTCTTATTACCTTTATTAGATACAGGAGACTAGTAAACTATAACAGCTTTTTGTTTTTGGTTTTTTACTTAGATTTGTTTATAACGTCAGAAGTCATTCTATGTTTTTACAATGGTTACATGGTTACATTCTATGTTTTTACAATGGTTACATTTTTTTAACAGCTTGTTTATGTTTTTTGTTTGTATTAATGGCTGATGATTGCCTATATATATATATATATATATATATATATATATATATATATATATATATATATATATATATATATATATATATATATATATATATATATATATATATATATATATATATATATATATATATATATATATATATATACATATATATATATATATATATATATATATATAGAGAGAGAGAGAGAGCCATTCTTCAATTTAATCATTTAGTAACTTAAAACAGCTTAAAAAGACTTTTAGAACTTTTAGAACTAATGATTCAAATCAATATTCAATACATTGATTGCATTGAACTAATCAGGGATATCTACAAAACCAAACTGTTTGTTTAAATTTATGATACTAATGAAGAAAAAAAAAGGTAGAAATTTGTATCTTAGGATACGATATGTGATATACCCTTGGTAAGGTATAACTTTTTACTTTTTAAGATAGAAAACTATACCTTTAAGGTTAAAAATTGTATGATAAACCATTTTTTAAATATAATTTTCTACTTTAAATGGTAGAAAATTATAAGTTACTAAGGGTATATCACATATCCTGCCTTAAGGTAAAAATTTCTACCTTTTCTTTTAGTGTGTAGTCAATAGTGTAAAAAAAGTAAATAATGTAAAAAGAAAAACTACCACTAGTCACTAGTCCCCTTTTTAAAAAAAATCTATATTTACCTATTTTTAAAGGGAAACCTGCTGGTAGCTGAAGAGCAATGAAATCTCGTAACTTAGCAAAATGTGAACTACTGTGCGCCTAAAAAAACCAAAAAACAAACAATTAACTTCTAATAAAAAAGAAACTCACTAATAAAATAACTACTAAATTTAAGAAAAAAAAAATTTACTTATCTTAATTATACTTATATAAAATAAATTAACAATATACTACTATGAAAAATCTTTTTTTATAGAAAAAAAAAAAAAAAACTAGTAAAAAAGTAAAGATGGCTATTATTAAAAGAATAACTGAATAAAAAACTTTGTTTTTTTTATTGGAAAGTATAGATAATATTTAATATTTTGGAGATCATAACACCATAATACCATTGCAAAACAATTTGATGGGTAGGTCAAGAAAATTTGATAGGCGGGTCAAGAAAATTGAAGGGTGGGTCAATTTAAAGGGATCCCAAACTCCCAACACATGTTGTGTTCATATTAAAGATGTTAAAAAAAAAGGTTTGAACCAAATTTTTTTGATTAAAAATAAATAATGAATGCATACCGTGAAAAACAAATGTTGTTGTTTTTGCCGAAGCTCGTCTTCTCCATTTTTTTCAACCACTCGGAGTCTTCAAATTATGCTTCGCAATCTACAGACTTTGGCAATTCCTTTGAAGCGCGTTTAATTCATAAAAGTTTTAGTATCTGACGATTAGGCTGATTAAATTTAAAGTGCTGAACTTGCTAAATTCGATATGGATATAAAAACGGTCATTTAAATAATTTGTTTTAAATATATTTCGACGTGATTATTCAAACTAATTTTTTTCAATTGACTTCCCAAGACAAATTGAGACAAAATATCGTCTAACCAAATAAAAATATTGTTACTAATTTTATACGGGTAAATAATGTAAAACATTTATTTATCAGAGTCTTATAATTGAAATAATAATTTTATACAGGTAATTAATGTAAAACATTTTTTTTTATCAGAGTCTTGATTGAGATAATAAATATTCATAATTTATAAACATTAAATATATGGCGCAATAGCAATTTATAGCAACGAACCAGCATAAAATATTTAAGGTTTTTAATATCTTTTTAAATATTAAAAGTAGAAAAAAAAAATTAAACAAATAACCAAAAAAACTTTGACTAAAAATAAATAAAAATATTTCTAGAGTATCTTTTGTTAAAAGTCTACCGTGACGTCAAATACTAAAACTTTTATGAATTAAACGCGCTTCAAAGGAATTGCCAAAGTCTGTAGATTGCAACACATAATTTGAAGACTCCGAGTGGTTGAAAAAAATGGAGAAGACGAGCTTCGGCAAAAACAACAACATTTGTTTTTCACGGTATGCATTCATTATTTATTTTTAATCAAAAAAACTTGGTTCAAACCTTTTTTTTTAACATTATCTTTAATATGAACACAACATGTGTTGGGAGTTTGGGATCCCTTTAACGCTTGAGACTATACTTGATACTCTGTCAAATTCTTTTCAGCATCATTTATTTTTTAAACATATTGTATAACACAACTTAATATTTGTTCAATAGTGATAAACTATTTTTAGGGTAGAAGTCATTTTCTATGGTTCTATAAGTAACAAACTAAAATAATAAATTTTCTATGGTTCTATATGTAACAAACAATCTTATAAGAAAAAACTACAAGGAATTTTATATTAAAAAGTTTTATGATAATAAACACAAAAAATATAATAAATTTAAAAAATAAACCATGAAAGTTAAAAAACGATTACAAATACTAAAAATAATATTTAATAAGAATTAAAAATTAAAATGTAATAAGAACTAATAATCTTAAACAGCTTGATAAAAATATGCCAAGCTTTCTTGTTTTCAATGCATAAGTGCTTTTTAAGGTAAGACCTGCTTTTCTGTAGCAACTTGCACAATATCTGCACCATTTTAGCTAATAACTTCTATATATTTCTTAGACCGAGATGTTGAAACCAATTTACAATCAGCAAATTCAAATAAAAATAGTTCAATTTGCTGATTGCAATTGGACAATTTTTTTCTTTGATTTCTTCGTAAGTATATGTTATTTGTTTTATGTTTAACTTTTTTGAATTTTATTGTAGAAATCTACTTAACTGAACAAGATCTATATTTGAAGTTCTTGCAAATCCAATTTTTTCTGTTAGTTTTAAGACAACTCTTGACTCACTGGTCACAGCATGCATTTTACAAGGACTTATATTAATAGAGGTCAAAGAAGAATTACAATTCTGTTTTAAAAATTTGTTGGTAGTAAGTTCATTCCCATCTCTATTATTTTTATATGAGATCAATTTAAACATAAAGGACATATCTATTTCATAGTTAATCACCACGGCTAATTACCATGGTTATATATATTTTATTTTTTCATTGTGTGAATCAATGAGTCACAATAAGTTATGTGGGTTGCGGAGTAACGCTTTAAGTAAATATATTTGAATTGTAGTCAAACTTCCTTTTTTTCAATCCCAGAACAACAAATTTATTTTTCTACATTATTAAAATTTTTGATATCTATGGTAACATTTGTTTGAGACTTTTAAACTAATTGCTTTTATTTTTATTTTATTTTCTCACTATAAAAAAAATAACTCTAAACTAATTATTATTTGAAAATTAGAAAGTAGACATCAGCTAACAAACATTCTAGACTTTATATAAGATAAAGGCACACAACTTTTAAATTGACATACAAGTTTATATACAAAAAATGTACCTCAGATACTAGAACTCTTTAAAGGTACCTGACATACTAGAACTCTACAGTTCTTTAAAAGAAAAATGCCAAAAAAATGGATATAATATATTAATTTTAATACTATTTTAGTAATATTTTTTAGAAAACTTTCAATGCATATAAATAAGATTTGAAAATCGAAAACTCTTGCACTTTTTGTGTTATGGAGTTTATTATATATAATACCATTGAAATAATTAGAATCATATCTCATAAAGATCTCATGATGATTGTCTCATGATGATTGTCTTATGATGATTGTCTCATGATGATTGTCTCATGATGATTGTCTCATGATGATTGTCTCATGATGATTGTCTCATGATGATTATCTTATGATGATGATCTCATTATGATTGTCTGATGATACTTCTTTTTGCATGAGACATCAAAAAAAGTTTTTGGGTTGATTTAACTCAGAATAACCATTTTCTTTAAAAAAAAAAAGGTTAGAGAAACCCACAAAAAAATTTCTTTTAAAAAAAATATTTGGAATTCAGTGATTTCCTTTATAATAAAGAACACAAATAATGTATGTACAACTTAAAAAAAACAATCTTACCATGAGGTTAATTACAGGGAGAACTTGATCTTGCAATGATAAAGGAAAAGTATCTGAAAGTGCAAGTGTAGCCGAGAATTTCTGACTAACTAAAGTCATTTTTCGTAGTCTGCCAACATCTTTATTTGGGTGAAGTTTTGGATTAAAATAATCCACTATTGACATACAATATGGATTCTTTGAATCAATGTCTTTAACATCAGGTGAATTTGGGCACTTTATAAACAGTATATCATAATTATCTCAAGTTATTAAAAATAAAACAAGTTCTTACAAGAAATATCCATTAGAAATAAAAAAACATAGAATAAAATTTTGATTAAACATAGAACAAAACAAAGATTTTAAATGTTACTTTTAATATTGTAAACACAAATTTTCTATAGTATATACATTTTTACAGCACATTTGTGCTAGCCATGGTTATTGTATATTTATATATGTAATATATTTTTAATATTACATTTTTAATTCCTTTCTTTTCTCTACTTTTGTATAAATGGATTAAATTCTATTTTTTTTTAATTTCATAAATTTGTAATTGCGGCTCTAATACATTTTGTCGGAATACAAGTGTTGTATACAACACTGTGTTTAAATTGAGAAATTTGCATTCAAAGTTTAAAGTAAAAAATCTCTTTATGTAAATTTAATTTCATGTTGAAATTTAACAAAGTTGACTAAAATCAGTATAAATTTTTATTTAAGTTGTTAAAAAAAAAAAAAAAACTTCCCCTGTAACTAAGAGCACTGTTTTTCAAATACGACAAATGTATTTCAAAATCAGAACATTTTGTCGGAATACAATTGTCATAGATACAATTAATTTGATAGTAAGTGAATTAAGGTTAAATTTACTAATATTGTAACTAACAATGACTTATAACTTTAAAATAACTTTAAAATTTTAGTTTTACTGTCCTTTGCATTTTCTTTCCATATATCCATTCCCGGTAACCAATTTGTTAGCATTATATTTAGAAATATACAGTTTTTAATCTGCAAGCTTCTTTTATAGAAATTAATATGCTTCTTATACAAATATAATTATTAATAAATTGAGTATGATGTAAGGTTTCACTTACTAAATTTATAAATAACTAATATTCACAACTTTTTCCTTTTTTACATTAAGCAATTTTTATTAATATTATTTATTTTCGATTAATTGAAAAATAAAATAACTAGTTTATCACAATTTTTTGAACTTAATATGAAAAGGTAGATGTTTTTTATGACACATTAGTTATCTTTTAATTTGTCTGTGAAAAATAAATAAGTTAAACCTTAAATATAAAAAACAACCATTTCCATTATACCTTTTTTTTTACAATAAAGAAATAAATATATACAATGTTTATTAAAACATATTACAAAATGATATATATTTAACTGTCCAGACTTTGTAACTTAAAAAGAGTATTATAAAGTTCAAGATCATCACCAACAAAAAATTTTACCATTCACTCAAAATCATTAGTTTCTTTATCTGAGAGCGAAAAACGTGTTTAATAAGTTTTTAATGGAGGAAATTTTTTTAGAACTTTAACTTTTTGTTTATTCTTTCTCTACGAGGTACCTTTTACCAATCTTTCTTCAATTAACAGATCTGAGAACAATTTTTTGAACTTAATATGAAAAGGTAGATGTTTTTTATGACACATTAGTTTTACTTTAGCAAAAGGAACTTAATGGAAATATAAAGACTTGGAAGCAAGTTTGAAGTTTTTGAAGTCATCTTTGTACATTTTTATATGACTTTTAATTCTACTGCAGAAGTTTTTTCAATAGATAACAATAATTTGAATAAGGTAGGAAGACTGTAAATCTCATAAAGCCTTTATTTTTTCTCAACCACACTATGCGCAATGTCAATATTTTGTACTGAATTATGACCAGGTTCACTATACTTCTGTTCAATGAGTGGTATTCCGCTTTCATTTAGAAAAATTTTTATTGCCAAAGACAGAGTTCTTATTCTGGGGAGCACAAGAATCAGATCACAAAATAATTTGATTAATTGATAAATTAAGACAGTCTTGAACAATTAATTTTAATAGTTCATACAGACAACTCGCAAGTTCATTTGCACCTCTACCAACCATAGATTCATTCCAAAGTGCACAATAAGTTTTTATATTCAATGATTAGCGTGTTGTGAAATTATAGCAATTTGAATTTTTATAATAGAATGCAGAAATATTAGCAATTGGAAGGGGAAATATATAATTATAACTGCTGTGGTTTTTTAATCTCCATTTGCAACTTTAGCTAGGTCACTTTTTTTTCTTGTCTAGTTAATAGCTTACTCTCTCTATGCTGCAGTATGTTTTGATCTTCTTCTTTGTTTTTATACTCTCGACATAATTCACACAAATCTTTCTTTGGTTTATGAAATGCCAAATTAAACTCTTATTAAAAGTTGAATAATAAACTTTTTTTTTTACATTGAACTTTGGGTAAGCTTGTGTTAACAACATGTACATTTTAATTGTACTCAATGACGACTCTAAATATTTTTTGTTAGTATTCTGTCTGCAATAGTGTGAACCAACTGTTGGAAAACTATTTATATGTTCTCTAATCTTATCTAAGACTTGATTAGGAGTTTTTATACAAACCATTTTCCTCTCTTTGGGGACCTTGGTAGTCCACTTATATACTTTATTTATCATGTTATTAAAATTATAGTAAATTCTTCTTTCACTGATATCTTCAAGAATTTATTTAGAATGTAAAAATAATTATCTCATTAAAACTATTCAAGCACAAGACGTATTGTAATGAAATCTTTGTACACAAGTATTTTATATTTACTTTTCATTGTTAGGAGAAATGATACAAGAAGAAAAAGATAAATTAGTAGATTCTTCCGCTACATATCCAGGGGGGTATCTTCATCCATTTGGTGGTTAGGCTCCAACACAATTGGTATTGGATTATAAGCATCAGAAGCCATAAAATACTCCATATTTGTTATAAAATATTCCATATTAGTTACTTATCTTTACAAAAAAAAAAAAAAATTATAAATACTGTTTAGTTCATCTGATTACGAGTAACAATTTTTATTTACTGAACATTTCAATTCAATTCAAAGAAAACAAAAAACAATTCAATATTAAAAAATAAATTGAATGTATTACTTTTTATTTACAAAAAACATGTGAACAGTAAACAAGAGAACATACGTAGTTAAATCTAAAGTCACGTGAACAAATAGAACGCTACTATTGGTCTACGCTAAGTACAACAAATTTATGTTGAATGACTTGTTTAAAAAGTTCATTTACAACAAATGATGTACTGAACTATATTGGAAAAAAATTTATTTGAGCTATTGGATAATTTTTTTTGAAATAAGTTTCTAAAAATTAGAAAATTAGCATATGTATGTCATTTTTTTCAAAAATGTCGAATACGACACTTGTATTCCGGGCTGACAATTTGTTTGTGTAAAACCTGTTCATTTTTACAACCATTAGATTTATAAATTTTAAAGCAATATTAAATGTTAAAGCAAGTTTTTTAGATAAGTAACCAATGTGAAGATAAACATTGCAGAAAAACATGCTGTAAAAAAAGAAAACTGTAAGATTTTGAATTAAGTTATTGTAACAGACCTATTCTAGAGTTTCCCAAATGTCAGTTGTCAAAATATGGTGACATGGTTGAACTTCTCTTTAAAAGAAAATCTTTGAATTCTTGAAACCGACTATAAAAAAACTTCAAACATACTTTTTGACTTTTGGTTTTTTAGGTTGCAAAAATACTAATGAAAATAAATAGTTACAAAAACCAAAGCAAACAACAAAACTCCTGATGCTATGGACGAGAACAATGAGTTCTTGGCCAAAAGTTAACTAGAAAAATGTCTACAACTGAGGAAATTGACTTGACTTACCAAAGAGAATTGAAATGTTTATACCAGGATAAAAATTTATTCGAAAGCCTTAATCTATCTGATTCTGAAATAATACTTTTTCAGTTGAATTTATCTAATGATCTAATAATTCATTTTTAAATGTATCCAATAAAAAAGAATTTCCCAGTGATGAAGTGAAAAAGTGAAAGTTGGAGTGAGCTTCCATCTTGGTGTGAGGTGTGCAAGCTTCCATCTTGGTGTGAGGTGTGCAAGCTTCCATCTTGGTGTGAGGTGTGCAAGCTTCTATCTTGGTGTGAGAGGTCATTCAACAATTATTTTATAATTTGAAAAATATTGTTTTATCTAATCAGGAACCCACAGAAAAAGATTTCATGCTATTAAAAACAAAGGGGAAGAAATAAGAAATAGTCATAAAAATGCTTTATTTGGTAAAAAACTTGTCCTTTACTTTGATAGTAAATTGTGTAAGAAATAGAAACTTGTCCTTTACTTTGATAGTAAATATCTGTGTAAGGAATAGGATCTTAAAAATAATACTTTATTAAAATAAAAAGAATTGTAGTAAGTGTGATGGTTTACTGAGGATGATTTAGTATTGATGTTCCGCTAGGAGTGTTTCATTTTAATACAAAGATCAGGAAAAACAATTAAAAAAGGTACTGGAAGATTTTAAAATTAATAATACTTTGCTGTTTGTAACCAAGGCAACTGCTTCAAACACTAGTGCATATAATGGAGGAACTCAACCTATTAGTAGTAAGTGACCGGGGCACTGGCCCCTGCTAAAAATGAGAGGTTTTTCAAACCCAGCCCTGGATAAACTATAAGATTTAGCAAAGGTTGATAGCCGGGTCTAGAAAAAAGTTTTCTAATACTTTATATATTATAATTTTATGCTTACATTTACTATTTACTAAATACTGGCATATATTTATATATTTTCAAACTCTAATTTACTTCCAACAGATTGCAAGCAACCACTATTAAGTTATGAGTTACTTTAAAATAGGGAATAAGTAAAAATACTAGGAAATGGTTAACTGAAGACTTAAAAAGTTGTAGGTTGTATATTAAAAAAAAAAACATGAAGATGGCTAATAGTTATAATGTTTTTTTGATATGCAAGCAAAAAAACTGGATTAATAAAAGTTTTTATAGCATGAAGGGACAGATACAGTAAAAAAAAGCAACTTGTTGAATAAGAAACAAGAAAGAATGAGTTTTGGTTTATAGTAATAGAGATGATAGCTTGATTGAGCATTGACCATGATTGTATTTGTAGAAAAAAGAAAAAAATGCAATCTTACAACAATGGAAGAGTGGTTCAAGCTTGGCAGATAAAGCAGGTCTAATTTACTACTATTTTTTTCTTTTGTTAATTTACCACCCCAAGGCTGAAAACGCCACTACAGACGAGGAGGCTACTTAATTGTGGTTATAACCCTGTCTCAACTATATAACTCCAAAACACGAACCTTGACAACCAAGGGCGCTGCAAAGAGAAACAACTTGAGCGCGGTACTACCAGAAATGTGGTTGGGGTTGAACTCGGTACCTCTCGCTTATGTAACGAGCGCTCTACATGACCACTACACCACAACCGCATTACATTTACAATGTGCTTTTAGATTTTGTTTGAGAGTAACAGGGTCGTTATTCATCAATATAGGAATACCAACATTATTGTAATATTTTTTTGCAGTAAATAAATGAGTTTTGTTGTCTAACAAAAATTTCAGATTTTAAGTCCAGAATATAAATCTTGTTCTAAGCAATCAAAAAGTGAAGATTTTTTTTCAAAACAAGAGTATAAAGTTAAGTCATCAACAAATAGAGCAACTTTAGATGTTAAATTTTCATGAAGACTGATATTGTAGATAAGAAACAATACAGGAGCAAAGATTTAAGGGTACCACAAAATATCTTGTGGTACCCTTAAAGTTACTTGGAATAAAGAAGAGTGTAGGCCTTCAAGAATAATTTTATTACTGCAGTTGGTAAGAAATAATAATCTCAAAATCGTTATATAAAGAAACCTATAACAAAGTAAAAACTAATAGTAGCATAGTTGGAGAGGGCAAAATGTTTTCTAGAGTTTTGAAAAATTGGAACCACTTTTTAAGCATTTTTTTAATTTAAATGTTATTAAATATTATATAATTAATAAGATTAAATGTTAGACTTTAGTTAATGATATTGTTAAAGACTAACCAAAAGTATCATGTTGTTGAAGACTAACCAAAAGTCTCTAGAACCTAACATGAGATATAAGATATAACATGAGATATAACATGAGAATTTTAGCAAACTGAGAATAACAGAACTTAACATCAGACAGGACGTTTTTACATTGGTTTCTTGGAATAATAAAAGGACATTTGTTCTTAAGAGAGATGTTCTTGTAAAAATGATGAAATAAATGATTAATAAAGCAACTGCTCATGATGGTAAAAAATATGGAGTAGAATGAGATTTGACTTAAAATTGAAGAGTAGGAATAAAATCTTCTAAACTTTTAGTTCAGAAGGAATAAAAGCTTCTGAGATGCGTTTTATGCATAAATATTATGGACATAAACATGTTTGCTGTTTATTTAGATGCTTGCTTACAATATCCTTTCATATTTTTATAAATTTTAGTATTTAAAAGGTATAGTATTTGAAGATGATGATGATGATGATGATGGTAATGATGATCATGTTGATCATAATGATGTTTATATATGCATATATATATACAAAATATAAAATGAATTTTGAATTAAAAAAATATACTTTAGGATGTATAAATGTTTATATAGTCCAGGTCACAAACCCGGCCCCAGCTATATTTTATCAAACCCGGCCCCGATCAAATATCAACCCCGGTTGTTCACTACCTATTAGTAGTTATAATGTTGGGAAGCACATTATGTGGCCTTTATGAAGCCACCACATAGAAGAGACATCTCATTTGTTTTGCGCAAACACAAACAGAAACAACTAAGACGCTAAAAAAACAACTGTTTGCAAATTTTAAAAAATTATTGGCCTTAAAATTTAAGTATGCAATGAAGATATTCGTTAAACAGATTAAACAGCAACATTTTAAAAAATGATTCTCAAATCAAATTGCATAGAAATGCATCAAATTGCACAGAAAGCTAAAGAATACTTAGGAAAACTATCATCTGTCATAATTTAAGTATTGAAACGTGATAGTTGCTTAAATAAAATTTTAAAAAGTTGCTTAAAACAAGGCCTGCAATGTTTAATAATTCAGAAAAATGCAAAAAATAACCTTAGATTAGTTAAATAACTTAAACAAACCTTTGTGCTCAACTCTTGCACTCAAGAGGGAATAACATTTTAGCATTACAAGTTAAATTTTAATAAAGTATCATTAATAAAATCATATGCAATAAATTCAAAAATTGTTAATATAACTGCATGTAAATATCTAAAAATTCTTTAGTCAAGGAAAAACCTCTTCAGTCTCTGTTTTATGAATAAAACTTAACATAGATAGCATTCGTGACTCAGCCTGTTGTCGTTCATCTATAATATTAAATCAACCAAATTTAAAATCTTAAATGAATTATGAAAATATTATAAATAAAAAAATAAAATTGAAAAAAACATAAACTAAAAAATTTCACAAAAATAGTTATTTTTAATCAGATATAATTTTGTAAAACGTTTATAAAAACTTTTTTTTGATGAAGTTTTTTGATTACTAAATTTTTAGATACCTTGTATCCTGTCTATATCACTTTGCGTAAGATGTTCTAAACGAGTTCTAGTTACTAATTCTACACCTGACACAGCAAAAACTTTGGCCTGATAACCATTGATGGTGTCTATCTTGTCACTACCAAACCCTAGAAACCCTTTCTGCCTTAAAAAATTTAAACAAAAGTACAAAATTTGATTCTTTGTTTATAACAATATATAAAAGTATAAAATAAATGAAGTATAAATGAACTGTAATAAAAAAAAAAGAATTTTGTATCATATATCATTAAAGACTAAATATTTGGTAAAACATCAAAGGTTCCTCTTTAAATATTTGGTAAAACATCGAAGGGTCCTTTTTAAATAAAGTAACAAGTTCAAAAAAGGTCAAAAAAGGCAAAGAAAAAACTTTTAATTCAACGGAGCCATACACCTGAGCCATTAAATACATTATACACAGTAAATAATCAAAATAAAAAACACATTAAATGTATGAAGTTATATTATTTGTATAAATAAAATAGGAAAAAAATAGAAAACAATTATAAAGAAAAACAAATGAAAAAACCTAACCTAGTAAAACTGATATTTTCATGATCAAGAACAGTAGTCACATTTGCTGAATTTAATCTTGTGTTAATTACAGATGCAGGAGGACGCAATGAAGATAATTTAACAGATTCATCTCTAAACAAAAAATAATATAAATACAAATATTTATAATTTAACAGATTCATCTCTAAACAAAAAATTATATAAATACAAATAAAGAAACATTTTTTTAGAATGTACGCATTCATCAATCAATAAAAATAATCGAAAGATATCATATATAAAAAGTGTTAAGAAAACATTAAAAAGATAAACTGACATCAGACAAAAACTATTTTGATACGCTAAAAAAATTTTCAAAAAGAGGCTAGCTATTTGACATCTTGTTAAAAAGTAATAGGAAGTATTTTGTTGTGCATAATCAAGAGAATCTCCTTAATTGTAATTAGAACTAGTTGTGATTGTTTTAGGCTACATCCAATTAAACATACCAAGCAATCCTAGCAGTGCTTATGAAGCATGCCTATTGCCTTTGATCTGTTTGCTTGAGGGTCATTCCATATCAAATTACCTAATGGTCCCTAGGGTACCACCTCAAATTTGTTTCAAATTTTGACCACCCACAGTATTTATGAAAAAAATATAACTTTGTAAATAAAAAAGGTGATCACCTGAAATTTTTCATGTTAATAGTTTTTAACCCAAATAATCCAATTTTGTAGGTGTTTTTGATTGGCGTTGAGGAATTGATAAGTTATTGTACTCTAAAGTTGCTATAAAACTTAATAATAGAAAAATTTTGGGAAACTTTTATGTGCTGCAATTCAATATGAGCACTTCTACCCTTAATGGATGGAGCATTTATTTGTCATATTAATTTGTCATATGAAACACTGGCTTGATCATGCATTATTAGTCAATTTTAAGTTTAATTTGTTTCTCAAGCACAAGCCCTATGTACTATTCATCATCATTAAAGCATGCAATGTATTATCTAGGTAGAAAATTTGAAGGATCTTTTTTTGTCAAGTTAATATTATTAATCATAGACAGTATCACTAGAAATTCTTTGTCAAAATAATTTCTCTCCACCTAGTTCAAAACAGTGTTCAAAGCTTCTTGTGCCTGGGAATAAGGTCATCTCTTCATATTGTTTCTTTAGGTTAAAATAAGTTTCATGGTTACTGATATCATCACATGAAATGTAAAATATGTTAACACCTTTAATGTTTTTTTCAGCCCATGTAAACAGTTCATTTGGTGTGAGAATCTGGTTTGCATTTGCTGCTGGTTGACTTGATTTTGCTGCTTCTCTTTTTATAGTTCCTCCTATTCCATCACATGGACTTTTGCCATGGATTGTAACAAAGAAGTGATGCTCAGCATTTATATTGTGATCTTCAAGATGGTACATTAACAGACATTTGTAATTTTTGTACTGTGACACAGCACCATCACTGAAGTATTTTACTTTATTAATTGTGGGTAGTTTGATTTTGATCATAGGGAGTAACTTAGTAGAAAACAATGAACTGTTGTTTAATCATGGCAAAGATGGTCAGAAATTTTACAATAGCATTCACATTTAAATTTATTTTTTTCATCTTTGTAATAAACAGCAAATGGATGTAATATGGATGCTTGATCGGCTTGCCAGTAAAAACCTTGCACAGCATCTTGCACAAGAAAACTATAGTTCTCTGCAAAATCCATAAGAATAAGATAAGTGTGTTGATTCAATGTTCTTTTCACCTCTGATAAGTAGGAGGATTGTGCTTCTTTGATTAAGTGGTAGTGACAAAGGTCATACAAAGTTTCACTTAGAATTTCAATAAACTCAATTATGCTTGTTTGGACAGTGATAAGTGCAGTTTAGTCAGTTGACACCCATTGTTTGTATGTGATCTGATCGTCAAAATCAAAATCATTATTTTCAAACACATTTTCCAAGTAAGTGTTCAAATTTACTTTTTAGTTTGAACATAGATGAAACAAGCAGCTTCATCTATCTATATTACAATCACATACTTTCAACAAATCTTTCTAATATATTAAATGGCTCTTATTTAAAGCAGCACACATCAACTTAGCATTTTGATTATAAGAACATACGCAAACTGAGTGACTTCCACTACTGTCAACTACGATGCACCACTTCAGCCTTAGTTCACAGAATCTAGTTGCTGAATCCAATTTTGTGTTTAAAGTTCCTTTAATCTAACTAATATTGAACATTTTTGTTTATGAACTTTTACACTATTTATACGCACAGAAAGTTAGTGTTAGTAGTTGAACTTCAAACTTATTTTCATTTTATTTTTTGTTGCACCTAACAGTTTGTCTAAATCATTACAGTTTATACATTTATGCTCTTTTTCTGATACTATATCTTTTGGGTCTATATTCAATGCTGACAATACTAGGTTTGTCATACTTGTTGCAAATTTTTTAGCTTTTCTTTTTCCATATCCTAATTTGTTGCACCTACTTACATTTTTGAGTGGAGATATTTCCAATAAAGACACACTCTTATTAGAAACTATCTTATCAAGGTCTGAACAACTAAAATCTTCTTCAGCAGCTTTATCTCAACTAACTTCTGTAATTTTTTCAAGTTTGAATTCATTCATACAGTTAGTACAAACAGTTAGTACAAACTTTTTGACCAGGTTTGATCTTAAGCTGATTTGCTATTAGTATGTTGACTTACACAATCCTTTGATAATTTTTTTTTGTGGACTTTAAATTTATCACAACAGTATTTTTGAAGTGCTTCATATCTAGAAATATAGGCTTTTTCATGGTGAAAATATATCTCCTCATTTGGTTTGAAAGTGAAAGTCCTTTGAATTAAAACTTCAATATCAGTATCTTTTAATTTTATTCTTCCTACCATTCTACAATATGACTTTTATCACAATCTTTATTTAAAACTCTTCCTACACAACATTTCTCTGACATTTTTTATTAATCTAAAAATTTTAAAATCGAGGGTTAAACATGTAACATTATAATCTAAAAAAAAACTTTTTTATATTTTTCCAGTAATAAAATTATTAAAAATAAAATCTCAAGCACAAATGTGATTAATACTGACTAAAATGCAACCAATAAACTATTTCTGCATACATATAACTTTTTAGTTTTTGGCTCTTGCAATATTAAAAACTAAAATAATAAAATCCAGAAAATACTGTGCAGATTTTAATACAAACTCTTGAAGCAATTGAAGTATTTTACACTCAAATTATAACCATGTAAAAATTATATCATTTTAATTATATTACATGCATAAAATTAAACAAATACATATTGTAAAATCATATCAAATAAATTAATTTAAGACACTGATTATGTTATTTTAGGGAAAACTGATATTTATTCAGGAAAAAATTAAAAATATACACCTAAGTCATAGGGCTACTATCATGTCATAAGATAGAGTATAGGTCTTTGAATTTTTTTTGCTGATTGTCTATATATAAGATAGAGTATAGGTCTTTAAATTTTTTTTGGTGATTGTCTATATATAAGATAGAGTATAGGTCTTTAAATTTTTTTTGGTGATTGTCTATATATAGAACCTTACACATAGAAAGTAACGTAGACAGTTAAAATAAAATATGAAACTTTTTACTGCTACAAATTGAATGTAATTTATCCTATTTTTTTTTAAAAGTGATATTTTAACAGGCTGCTGCAATCGCTAAGATAACTTATAACACATAATTGAATTGGTGAATGTTAAAAGTGTGGAAGTCCAACTATGAAAACTTTCAGGAAACTAAAAAAACTGCATTTAACCCCGTAGTAAATTTTTGTTAATGGTTTAATAATTATTTTTTTTGAAGAGGATAATATTTTTCACCTTCAAAAAAAAATTATTGAACCATTAACAAAAAATTACTACAGGGAAAAATGTAATTTTTTTAGTTTCAGAAAGTTTATTATTATACATTATCGGACTATCCACCCTTTTAAAGTTTATTATTATACATTATTGGATTATCCACCCTTTTAACATTCACTGATTCAATTTTAATTTTTTCTATAAGTGGTTATTATAAATACACAAAAGTAACCAAAAATTGGCACAGCGTTATTTATAGTATTGTGTTATTTAGCAACTTTGAGGTACAAGAACTCAAAAATTGTTTAAAATCAGTCAAAAAAAAAAACTGCAAAAATAGATAATTTGTGTGAAAAACTATTACCATAACATATTTCAGGTGATCATCTATTTTATTTAAAAAATTTTGATCTGTTAAAAATCAAAAAAATCTACTCAAATTTTTCTGATTTTGGTCAATATTAATTTAACTATAACTTTTGAACGGTTCAGTCAACCAAGCTGAAATTTTCAGGATTGTGTTTTTTTCATAAAAGCTGTGGGTGGTCGAAATTTGAAGCAAATTTGAGGTGATACCCTGAAGCACTTTTGAAAAACTAGATGATTTCATATGGAATAATCCTTGATGTTTAATACTTCTGTATATACCCAAGATTGCTTTTAGAAATAATCATATTTAAAAACAATTTCTTTTTTAATTTTAATTTAGTGCTTCAGAAGCAATGAGGATTTTATTAAAAAAATCGTTGTAAAAAGTCCGTAAGGACTTCTTAAGTACTTAAAAAGTACTTACAGTACCTTTAAAAATATATATCCTCCCCTCAGTATTATCTTGTTTTATCTACAAATGTAATAAATAAAATGTTCTGTCTAATATAGAAAATAAATATAAAAAATATTTATATATATGTAAACAAATACAATGTGCTACCTGATATAATATACTATATTATATTACATAGAACATTGAATTTATTTATATATAACTTTTTTTTGTATTTATTTTACATATTATGTAATTTTATTTATTACATTTGTAGATAGAACAAGATAATACTGAGGGGACAATATATATAAAATAATAATAAAGTTTACTATTATTTTAAACTTATCTAAATAACAAAATTGGTAAACTTCAAAAAAAAAAAAAAAAAAAATTGCTTATATTCTGTGCAATCATTTTTTGTTTTATTTGCAACCATACTGACAGGCTTGTGCTCGTTTTCAAGATAATTTTTATATGTCACAATTTGACATGACATATTTTCTCTGCCAGCATTTTTGTTTAGTTTCTATTAAATTTGGTCCTAAATTCAACTGTAAGAGTTGGCAGAAGATTTGGATTAAATTTTGGTTAGAAAATTTCAAACTTTAATTTTTTGATTTGCCTATACAACTTTTGTCGTTTATTGATAGAGATTTTCATATTTTACTTTTAAATACATTAAAATTTTTTAAACTTTTTGATTACTCTTTAGTTAGAATGTAAGAAAAGTAAGAGAATCTTTTGAGATTATTATTATTATTAATACTAATTTATTATTCACAAATTATTTAATTATTATGCACAAATGAACCACAAGATAAAAAGTTAGAATTGCATCAAAAGCTGCAGACTTTTTTCTTAAAAAGAGAATCATTAAAAAATTAAAATAGTTTTCAGTTGACATCAGTTCATTTTTTTAAAGTGTTCTTATCAATATATTATATCTGATTTCTTTTGATTATTTTTATTATAGCTTTGTTTTCTGTTTGATGGTGGTTTGATCAAACCAAAATATTACAAAAAGAGTTGTGTGCTTCATCTTTACCTTTAAAATCTTTAATAAAATAAAAAAATTAAATGTTAAAACAATAAAAGCAAATTTTGATTGGCAATCTGACATCATACTGGTTAAGGGAGTTGTGAGGGTTTCAGAACATGCATCAACTAATATAGGGAGAACATGCAAGGTTCTCCCTATATTAGTTGATGCTTGTTCTGAAACCCTATATCACAAAATATGGGTCGGAAAAAATAACATCTACCTGTCATTTTGTCTGCCCCATATTTTGTGTGTATTTGATTTATAATTATTTTAGTTGTTCCAAAATTATTAATAAATTTAGAATAAACTTCAGTATAAATTTCATTATTTGAATTTAATATTTTTTATACAAAACAGAAAATGAGCTATGTTAATAAAAATCATCATTTTTTGAGCTAATTCATTTTTTAAAAGACGCCTAAGCATTAAATTTTGTTTGAACTAAGCGGCCTGGTTTTTATCATTTATATTAAAATGTTGCAATTAATTATCAATTTAAATTTTTTTTTCAGTATTTATTTTATTTTTTGTCTGATGGTTTTTATAAATTTCAAACGAATATTTTAACTTTTAAAACCCTTTTAAATTTATTTTATAAAAACTAAAATGTAATAGTTTTTTAATGAAAAAAACCAGTACTTTTATTACATTATTAAATTTAAATTATGTTACATTTGCTTTCGCACCAAAATTGTTTTTCAATATTAAAAGTGTTTATATTTAATATATTTATAATAACATACAAAGCATTTCCCATAGTATAGTATTTTTTTAAAATTATAATACAAATATATTTTCCTTTTCCAATTTTAGTTTTTTAAGCTTATATTTTTTAACTTGAAGTTTATAATACAGACCAACAATTTGAGGTTTTTAATACTTCAAAACTAAAAATGTTAACACTGCGCTGCAGCAACCACGTTTTTGTTTTGATTTCCTTAAAATACAACTTTGCCGCTAAGTTATTGTAACCAAGTATGATTTTTATTTTATTGCTTGAAGAATAGCCATTAACACAAAATTTAAAATCAAAGATTTAAGTTTTATTACGTAATGTTTATTTTATTATATTATAAATTGTATTAAATTATATATAAAAAAAAAAATTAAAAAAATATTTTTTTTGAAAAATGAGTTGAAAAATTGTTTTTATAGATAGTTTACGCTTTTGTTTAATTCTGCATTTTAACTAGCATTTTTGCAAAGCATAAACACACCACAGCGCTCTAAAAATTGTCCCGCAATCGACATACCTTAAATATAAAAAGTTGTTTTATTTAGCTGTTACTTAATTGAAAAAATTTTCTGAAAATTCTATTTAGTTGTTTTTTTATTTTAAAAATAAACAGATTTTTTTCAGAATGTCAAAAAAAGTAAAAATTCCTACAAGACCCATACTTGGATTAAAAAGTGCTAAAGATCCATATTTAAATAAAAAAAGTGAAAAGCCCATGCGGTAATCCTGCACATATATATATATATATATATATATATATATATATATATATATATATATATATATATATATATATATATATATATATATATATATATATATATATATTATATATATATATATATATATATATATATATATATATATATATATATGTATATATATATATATGCATACTTAGATAAATCTGACAATAAAAGCTGTCTATTTCATTATAGAATATTTCATTCTATAATGAAATAGACAGCTGCCCGGGGCTTCAGTACATACATGAACTTACTAAATAGGGAGAACATGCAAGGAGTGGAGCTACATTAACTGGGGTGTGACAGCAATCTTTTTTTCATTTTTAATTATTTTTTTCTTATTTTTCTAAAAAAACAACTCATTGACTATAGACTATATTCCCATCGTTTTCAATATATACTTACAAAAGTGATTTCAGTGACTTTACTTACAAACCTCAAAAAAAAATTTAAATTGAACTCATTTAGTTCAATTATTTTAATTCAATTCTTTTTAATTCTATTAATTTAATTCTTTTAATTCAATTATTTTAACTCCATTGTTAAAATAAATTACCAACATAAATTCTTTTACCAACAAGCATTTATTCAACATGTTTAATTTTAGGTGACAATTTAGAGTGTACTTCAGTACTTGGTGACAACTCAGAGCATCCAAATTCTTTTATTTTATTTTTTTAAATCTGTTTAAAATTTGTAATTGTTTCTTTTATATTTTATATTTGTATAAAGATTGGAACTGAATACAAACAAAACAAAACAAAACAACAATAACAACAAATTAAAAAGAATATAAAGCGGTTGTAGTTGATCAATTGGAAGAATGTAAAAATATAAGGTATAAATGAAGTGACCATTTCTGATCCCCTATTTTAAAATATATTATTTTGTTTAACCCTCAAAGGTATAGGCTAGAGCTTTAAAAGAATTTGGGAAAAAGATAGACTAATATGAAGCTTTGATCTTAAAAAACCATGGACAAAAATAAACTATACATAAAACAACCATCATTGATTTTTCACTTTTCTTGTTCATTTCTTTTAGTCCGAACAGAACAGAATTAGAGTTTAAGGAATGAGCTTAACATAAAATTGTTGGTTTTGAAAATGAAAATGGTTTAAAATCTGAATTGTTTTCTAAATAAAGTCTAAGCAAAGTCTAGTATATATGTGTAAAATAAAGTTACTTTTAACTTGTACCTTTAACAAGTTTTTGAAAAATAATTAATTAAAATAATTAAATAAAAAATTGAAAAATATACCTTATGTTAATTGACTCTTTCCAATACGACTTAGTATCATGATCAATATCATAAAAATGACTGCAACGAGCTAACAAAAATGATAATAAAATTAACTACAAAAAAAGGTTCAGAAAACTCGCTTCTAAAGTTAATGTTAATAAGATCAGTTATCACAACAAACATAATTATATATATTATTTAAATTATTCAGTGTTTTAAAAACTGAGTAATTGAAATTAAATAAGTTCCAGAGCATGCTAAAGGTTAGCAAAAAAATGTTTTTATACAAACGTATTATTCATCAAAATAAGGGTTTTCAGTGCTGGGGGAATTATGGGGTTTAGAATTTTAAGCACTTTGACTGATCAACTAGCTTGCTATTGCTTTTTAAGGGGTGATATTTTTTATGCAACATTTTAAAATATAAATTTTAAATATTATATTTTAATGTATATAATATTCATTTAATGAATATAACCATTTAATGAATCAACATCAACTTTTTTATATAATCTAGTATTTTCAAAGCTTAATGTAACTAATAAAAAAAAAACATTTGTTTTACAATGCTAATTGTAAAGTTAACAAAAAATTTGTGTTTGTGTAATCATAATAATCATATAGCTAACAAAAAATTTCCTCTAGAAGCTAAACTTATTTTTTTCATCAACATTTCTCCTCAAAGAGTTGATGAATAGATTTGTGAAGCAATGTAGCTTGGTAATTATCAGAGCTTCCTTGTAATTATCAGAGTAGCCCGGTATTTAGATGTATATGACTTAAAGAACTAACTAAAGGATCCCTTGAGTTCCTCTGCTGCCTCTAAATGCATCTTAATTGACAGATTAGAGATCTTTTCCCTCAATGACTAGAACCAGTACTTTCTGCATGGTCTGGAATACATAGCACCTGGTGCAATCTTTGAAAAACAGCTAAGCAGTGTTTAAGCAATAAACAACGCAGCAATAAAATCAACACTTGCTAAATTTGTACATTAAATACCTTTAAAGATTGCATATTAAACTGTATTGATAGAAATGCAATCCCCATACTGCATTTCTATCAATCAGTCACAGAACTACTGGATCTGGGAACATCTATAACCAGAAAGCTTCTCTATCAGGATTTCGCTAATCTTTTCTTTCTCTTTCATGAAATGCTTTTATGCTGTGTTTATGCTTATAATTATTGGTCCATCTTATGATGTGAGCTGAGTTAGGTGTGACGTCATGTGTGACGTCAATGTGACATCATACTGAAATAGCCTGCTGCCAGGGGCTACAGTATATACATCGACTGACAAATAGCCTGACTCGCAGTTGAGTGCTGCTACATAGCCTAAGGGTTTTGGGATATGGCAGCAACCGTTTCATTCATTATTCTTTGTTTTCTTTTTCTATAATGATTTAAATAAAAATATATATATATATATATATATAAAAAAGTGAGCAAGTGCGCATATAAATATGCTCTAGGAGATATATATATATATATATATATATATATATATATATATATATATATATATATATATATATATATATATATATATATATATATAATTGTTTGTTTTTTTTGACGAGGTTAAATAAAAAATAACTACATAATTTTTACAACCAAATTTTTCATGCGTTTAGCAACCATCAGGTAAAAATACATTGTTTTTTTCATTAAAAAATATACTCAATAAACATCGTGGCGTTCAAAAACAATTATAAAATGTTAACTATTTACAAGCAAGGTTTGGTTTTTTAATCTTAAAGCTTGACAACCACGAGCCCAAAGGTTAAAAAACCAAACCACGCTTGTAAATAGTTAACATTTTATAATTGTTTTTGAACGCCACGATGTTTATTGAGTATATTTTTTAACGAAAAAAACATTGCATTTTTTACCTGATGATTGCTAAACGCATGAAACTTTTAGTAGTAAAAATTATGCAGTTATTTTTTATTTAACCTCGTCAAAAAAAACAACAATTATATAGCTCTGATATCATTCATCGAGCACTCTTGCTGAATATATGCTCACAGCAAAATTAAACTTATATATATATATATATATATTTATATATATATATATATGTATATATATATATATATGTATATATATATATATATCCATACATATATATATATATGTATATATATGTATATATATATATCCATACATATATATATATATATATATATATATATATATATATATATATATATATATATATATATATATATATATATATATATATATATATATATATATATATATATATATATATATATATATATATATATATATATATATATATATATATATATACTCTTGCATGTCTCTTGCGTAGCATCAAAAAATATTTCCCATAAACTGTAGTTTTAAAGAGCGCGTTAATAAACCAGACCAGAAAAAGTTTTAAAAATTAATTTTTTTTTTTTAATTGATAGACTGCCTGGCCAAACCAAACCCTCAGTCGATGTAGCAGCACTCTCTTGCGAGTCAGGCTATTTGTCAGTCCTTGTAGCAGCACTCCCTTGCGAGTCAGGCTATTTGTCAGTCGATGTAGCAGCATTCCCTTGCGAGTCAGGCTATTTGTCAGTCGATGTAGCAGCACTCCGTTGCGAGTCAGGCTATTTGTCAGTCGATGTAGCAGCACTCCGTTGCGAGTCAGGCTATTTGTCAGTCGATGTAGCAGCACTCCGTTGCGAGTCAGGCTATAAGATAGTCGATGTAGCAACATTTACGCATGTTTAAAAAATGTTTTTTATTAAATCAATAACAAAAACACCACTAATTAAAAAAAACTTTCTAGCCGTTATAATTGCGGTTTTTTGAAAATTTTTTAAAAAACAATTAAATTTAATGTACTTCCGCATAAATTAATTGCTTTGACATTTCGATGACAATCAAAAACAGCTTAAGAGACGAGGTAATTAAAATTGTAGTCGTAAGAGACTTTTTTTACATTAAAATGCTCTTAAAGCGACACTATATGAGTATATATATATATATATATATACATATATATATATATATAAATATATATATACATATACATATATATATATATATATATATATATATATATATATATATATATATATATATATATATGTGTGTGTATATATATATATATATATATATATATATATATATATATATATATATATATATATATATATATATATATATATTTTAATTTTCATTAAAAAAATAAAAAACATTCTAGCCTAATGAGTTTGTATTTTTTTTTTTTTTTAAATTATAATTTAATTAGTTTCCTCAATTAAATTTAATGGTTTTTACATAGTGTTCTTGATTTTGTCATTTTTAAAGACAAAAAGCTGATAAGCAGTAAATTTGAATATGATGCATTTTTTTATGATAGCAGTAAATCTGAAAGCCTTTACTATAGGAATATGTATGTACATGACTCTATATATTTTTATATATAATAAATTAAGAAAAAACATTAACACGTACATATAAATATATAAATTAAAAAAAAAAGATTAGTTTTTTGATTGAGATTTTTAAATTTTGAAGTAATAAAGTCTCAATATATTTTTAATTATATTTTTTTAATAAAATAAAAACATGCAAAGATTTACCTCCTCCTTTAAAAATAAAACTTTTGTTTCCGCGCTGCCAACTCATATGATCAAAGCCAGCTAATGTTGTATCAACACGAACTGATGCGCCTAAATGAACAAACATGTAACTACATAAAGAAAAAAATGTTTATTTTATGAGTTATTTACTGTTTTAAAAATAAAAATAAAAGATTGAATACAAATATAAAGACATTAAATAAATTTATGAAGACATTTAGTTTAAAACTTATATTTAAAAACCTGCACCTCCCTCTAAAATAAACAAACAAAAAAAATACAATACTTAGGGTTTGTTTAGTGTAAACTTGTGCAGTTTGGACAGGTTTCCATAATATAATTTTTTTAATTTAAATATGAGAGTATGGAAGAGTTGAAGCTTTTATGACCAAATGACCATCATAGAGTTAACCTGTTTTCATCATAGAGTTAACCTGTTTTTTTTTTTTTTTTTTTTTTTTTTTACCTTAATATTTTTATTGTGATACTACTCAGTGGTCATTTAAAAAATTCGGAAAACATTTCCCAAAAAATACTGGAATTTATTTCCCTTAAAAAAAAAAAAGGCTATTTTTCATTTAAAAAAAAAAAATTGAAAAAGATTTTCATGCAAGGTTTCACGCAAGGTTTACTTCTTCCATGTTCACAATTAAGTTGAAGGTTTTATTATCAGAGTTTTACATCTCTCATATAAGTTGCCTTCACCACAGCTGAAGAGCCTCACCAGTCCTAATTTAGGATCAGATTAATGTCTTGACCAGGAGATTAAATAACTTTAAAAAAAATCTAAACTTTGACCAGACAAATGGGAAGAAAAGACAAATTTAGCGTACTTCAAAGATTCTTTGAAGTAATTATGGAGACTCTGAACAGCTTTTTTTTTGACAAAGTGACAAATACTAGAATCAAGTATATGACCATTTTTTGAGCAAAATAAATTCACTTTTTTTAATACAATTAGTTACTTTGTAGGTAGAAGCAATGTTTTCTGAGTTAACTTCTTATTTTCTTAGACAATAATTAACCACAAATCACTTCAATTTTTAATTCACTTTAATGTGTAGAAGTGGGAAAGGCATCACTATTTTTTCATTTAAACAAATTCTTGTTAAAAACACAGATATTAAAAAACATAGATTTTATTCCTCTGATTTATCTATATTTATAGTTATAATTTTTTTTTAGTCAATCAAAATAAAAAAGTCAAATAAAATGTTATTTTTTAAATTACAAAGAAAAGTCTTTTTTTTTGAAATTTAGGTTTTATCAGATTTACTTTTAGTTAAAAATCTTTTTCATGATACTTTGTTGAGAAAATTATACTCAATGTTTTTTAGTTACAAAACATTCTGGGGGTGCCTACAAACATTATAAATAATGTTTAACAATAAGTTAGGTGAACTTTATGATCAACCAACCAAAAATATTGTGACTCATTCAAGCAAGTTCCATTCTTTTACATTAACACACACAAATTTTTCATTTTTTCTTTCATAAACAATTAGGAGGAAAAATAAATAATATAAATACATTCTTTTAGAGTTACTAGCCATTATGTTAATATTAATGTTAGTACTACATGTACTGAAATAATTTCTCTAAACAGTTTTTATAGAACACAAATCATTTAGATAAAAAAGAGTATAAAATTTTGTGAAAAAGGGTGTCTAAATCAAGTCTGAAAAAAAAACTTTAAAGGTAAATGTTTTTAAATATTTTTCTTAAATTTCAATTTTTGGGGATATATAAATTGGGTATATATAAATAAATGTTTCAATTGTTACAAAAAAATATATTGTACAGCAAATAAAATTTGATTCCATTTTGTTTAAAAAATACAAGTGTATTTTTTAACATCAGGACTTCAATCTATTCATTTTATGATCCATTCATCCAAAATATTTTAATCATAATTTTCAACAAAAAAATATAACAAATGTTATCAAAACATAAAAAAATTCAAAATTTTTTAATGTATATTTTAACAAATATTTTTATAGTGCAGCCAATTGGTGCAAAACTTTATGCTATTAGGGCAAAAACATGAAACTTGGCGGACTTGTTGATAAAGTTGAAACATTCATTTTAAGACCCACTTTCGTAATTACCACACAAGGTCTCCAAGGAAACTAGCACCTCTCCATAGCAACAAAATTTTATTATTTTAAAATCTAATAACTTATGCACTAATCAAAAGCTCAATAAAAATGAAGCAAAAAATACAAAAACACTAATTTTATATAAAATATAAAACTGGATCATTTGTATTTTTTTTATAAAAAACACTTTGATAAGACAATCAAACCCATAAATTCATACAAAATTGAATAACTCCTTAATTTATTTTTTATGTAATTTAAATAAGTTTTATATGAAATTTTATATAAACCATATAATTTAAAATAGAAAAATATAGCAAGTAAAATGGCTCCAAAGCATTTAAGTTATTTAAATTTTCCTGAAACTTGTGGAATGAAGCCTTTTTTTTTGCCAGTACTAAACCATATCCATAATTCTTCTAACAGTAGTTTATGAAAAAGTTTTAAATCTAAAATTAAAAAAATATGTTCATGAAAATATGTTCATGTTCATGTGACATTTAAATATAATTTCTATTAAAAATCACATAAATATATTTTTCTTATTTTAGGTTTAGGACTTTCATAAAGTAACACAACAAATCAAAAGATTTGTTGTGCTACTATATGAAAGTCTTATTTTATTATTTTGAAAGTTTTATTTATTTTTTTTTTTTTTTTAATTTTACTACTTACCTGACAAATTTTTACAGTAGTGTAAATGAATGCAGAAACCTATTTTCATAAAAAGGATATTATGATGACTAGATGCCATAACCACTACACAAAATGCTTTGCAACTGCATATCTCTAGAACTGTTTACCAGGCTGGACACAATTATTGTTTAAGAACCCACTATTGCCTAATCCATGAGAGTGGGATTCAATTATGGAAGGAAATATTTACAAAATTACAGAAGCTTTCAAAATATGAAATAAACTTATACAATGCGGCTACAAAATAGAGAAACGGGTCGCCCATAAATCATTTCATGCTTTAGGAGGGAGGGGATAATGTTTTTATGGTGACTCATATGGAACTTGCTACTAATTAGTTACAATGTTGTGACAAGGGGGTGGGGTTGTAGATGGTCTAAAATTATCAAAAGTTACGTGACATAATTTGTGGACAACCCTAAAGGCTGTAAAGGTCTTTGTAAATGTGTAAAAGCATAACTTCCATGTAACATGCTTTGTAAATGTGGCAGTGATTGTGAGTGTTGAATTTATAATTTATTAAAAGTTTTAAGTATGACAGGTTTTAAGGTTAATGTAAAATTTGAAGGGGTAACTTTTGATATGTAACAGTGTTTTTAATTATTTATTGAATGTTAAAATTGAATATTTTACTATTATTATGAAAACCTTTTTTGAAACTTTTATTATTATAATCATTTTTATAAGCTTAAACTAATTTTGTCATAAGAACATGTAAGTATAACTCAAAGATACAACTTTGTACAAAAGTATAACGCTTTGACCCCCTGATTTTTAAGTTTTAAAAAACCCTGTTACACGTTAATAATTTATTTTTA